TTTAACAAGAGATGTCGGGGATTGAACCCGGGACCTTCTGCATGCCAAGGAGAGGCTCTGCCACTGAGCTACGGCCCCTCTTGACAGCTCTCCAGGGTCTCAGGATGAGGTCTTTCCCATCACCTGCTGCCTGGTCCTTTCGACTGGAGATGCCGGGGATTGAACCTGGAACCTTCTGCATGCCAAGCAGAGGCTCTGCCACTGAGCCACAGCCCCTCTTGACAGCTCTCCAGGGTCTCAGGCGGAGGTCTTTCCCATCACCTACTGCCTAGTCCTTTTTACCTGGAGATCCTGGGGATTGAATAACCTTCTGCATGCCAAGCAGAGGCTCTGCCACTGAGCTACAGCCCCTCTTGACAGCTCTCCAGGGTCTCAGGCGGAGGTCTTTCCCATCACCTACTGCCTAGTCCTTTTTACCTGGAGATCCTGGGGATTGAATCAGGGACCTTCTGCATGCCAAGCAGAGGCTCTGCCACTGAGCTACAGCCCCTCTTGACAGCTCTCCAGGGTCTCAGGCGGAGGTCTTTCCCATCACCACCCACCTGGTCCTTTTTAACAAGAGATGCCGGGGATTGAACCGGGGACCTTCTGCATGCCAAGCAGAGGCTCTGTCACTGAGCTGCAGCTCCCATTGGCTGCTGCAGGCCCCTGCTTTACAGTCAGATTTGAGCTCCTTTATGTGAAAGAGAAGGGCAATGAGATTATAAACCAAGTTCCATATCTAGCCAAGAGGAGCACAGTGGTTTCCTGCTAGAAGGAAGGCTCCACCAGCCTCCTGGATGTCGTATCAGTTCAGCGGACAAATGCCGTTATTTGGAATCGTGTCTCCAGGCACCAGATTTAGTACGCAGCGTAATACGTTTTTGCTTCCTTTGCACGGCGACAAGCGCAGAGAGGATTTTAAAAAAAAGAATGACAAAAGACCCTTTCCCTTTCAGACCACTGACAAACCTTTAAAACAGTTTGCTCTGGTTTTACGGGGGCAGTGTGCCTGGCCTGGCACGGCCTCCGGCTTCCTCAGCGGGAAGCCACTTGCTTGGTTTGCCTCCTCCGACAACCTGTGGATGCACACTTTGCATGTAAACATTTGCTCACTCGTGCCCAAATCCCCTGTGTCCCTGCCGGTTCGTTCCCACTCTCCTTGCTCACTCCTCTGGTCCTCTATGTTCTGCAGACACCCTTCCGAGGGGAGGAGGAATTCCTTTCCACGCGAACCGACTTGGGCACATCTCACCAGCCGTCTTGTCCCACCCCCTACCCTTCCCCACCTCGGTCCTCTATGTTGCCCGCTCTGCTAGGCTTACCTTTGCTCGGCGACTTGCCCCAGTGCGGGCAGCAGAGTCGCCCTGCCGTTTGACACTGTTCAGAAGTGTTTATCTGTGTTCCATGCTGGACTCTCGATCTCCCTCTCCCACCCTCCCCCCGCAGTGCAACGTGCCTGAGGGCGGACTCGTCCCCAAATCGCTGTATCAAACCGATGAAGAGCCTGAAACCTCCGACCACATCCGCCTCTGGACAGAAACCATCTATCACTCTGCAAGTGTCTTCAGGGGAGCTCCCCATGAGGTAGGAAGGGGTGTGTGTGGCGGGGGTCTGGGTCCTCCTGGTCAGTTGAGAAGGGCTGGAAGCAGCAGCAGGCTGATAGTGTTGCCAACCCCCAGTTTGCACCTGGAGATCTCCTGCTCCAGGCAACCAAGATCCGCTCCCCTGGAGAAAACGGCTGCTTCGGAGGGGTGGACTCTATGGCATCATACCCCGCTGCAATCCCTCCCCGAACCCCGCCCTCCCCAGTCCCCACCCCCCAAATCTCCAGGTATTTCCCAACCCAGACCTGGCAACCCCACTGATCACAGAGCCTCTGAGTACGCAGCTCTTCCAGGCCAGGCAAAAGTCGTTTACGGTGGGGTTTGGATTTGCGCTGAAGGAAAGGGATCAGGAAGGGTTTCCTCGAATGCCAATGACATGTCCCTTCACGTTCGCCAGACACCTAACCCCCGTAATGGAGAAACGGCGCTCTGCTCTCCCCATTCCGGGTTCATTGGAACTTCTGTAAGAAGCACCAGCCTCTCAGGGCAGTCTCATGAGTTGAGTTCATCGTTGGTTTAATTTGAGGATCACATCGATTTGTGCTCTGCCCTCCCGGTTGTTGGGAAGAAGGGCTCTGGTGCCAGCAGAGAGGCATGTTCCTCTAGGTCAAAACAGCAGTGGAAACAGGCTTTTCCTCAAACACCGTTGTGTGCCTGTGTTGCTCGAAGGACGGAGCGTGGGTATGTACCAGGCTTGTCTGTTTCAG